CTAAGAGCACTTGATGCTCTTGCAAAGGAACTCCCAAGCTACCAAACAGTAATTAGTGAGCTAAAGCTCTGTCAAATGGTTTCCCTTTACCAGGAGTAAAGTTTTCCATCTCAACCACAGCCTCCATCTTGTTTAGTAAAAAATACTGATGTCATACCACGGACACTCACTATTAACATTTCCCTAAATATTAACTATAATAACCTAACAGTGGAAGAATCTAGAAGTTTGTTTTCCAAGTTCAAGAACACAAGCCGAGCTGTTCATCGCTTAAACCAAAAAGTTGAACCCCTATCAATCCACATCAAAGTAACTACCAGCAGGACAGAGAAATAGGCAGGAAGCGTGTAAGATGGACATCAATAAATAGACATTGTTCTTTAACATATTAAAATGATTCAAATACATCCACATTGAGTAATTTGTATGAAAATCACAATGAAAAAAAATTACCTATTCGTAAAGATAGCATGGTGAACAAAGATTTGAGAAAAGCTAACATTAGTAAGATGGTAATTAAATGCATTTGGTGATGTGTTTATTGTAATCTGTGCAGTAATACTTATGAAACTTATAAGTGCATGTGTCAGTTGTTTACTAATTCTCCACGAAGAAGTCAACTTAGACAACTGAGTCACCTGTTTATCCGCTAAAAGTCACTCTAAAACCTGAGGATATTAAATAATTTTCTTACACTCATAGTTTATGTCAGGAGTTCAGGCGAAGCCTGGTGGCTACAACCGAACTCGGCTTGGGCCTCAGCAGGAATGGCTCAAATGACTATGGATAGCACAGAGTTAAATAAGGGGACACACCTGGACTGCTTGCTGTCACCTGTTCCTCGGTTCTCTGAGGTACACTTGTGGAGGCAGGAGTGAAACTTTCTATACCTTCCCAACCATTTCCCTTGGTGAGTGTGCTCCCCAGGTCTACCAGAGCACTGCAAAGTCAGAGGAGTCTAAAGGCAGTTATTGGTCAGATCTGTTCATTAATGGGCTAATTGTTATCAGAAGGCTCATTCTATGTGAGACTCTGAGTTCACAGATGCTCAAAGGTCTCATTTTAATAGCCATCATTACAGCAGCTCTGCCGTGTCCACACACCATGAATATGAATATGAATATGCTCCAACAGCACTTAAAGAAGCATGCCATTGCATGCACCTTTGAGGAATTCTTAGAAACCTCTGAAGATAGAGGTTTTGATGGAGCCCTGGCCCACTCGTAGCTCATACCAAACCTTCTCCATTCCCAGCACACTGTAGTTCAAAGCAGAGGCCTCCCTGTTCTGAGTAGAACACAGCTAATATAAAGCTACATAGCAAAATGCCAGATTGAAAAGACCTACATCATACTGTTAAGGAAGGAAGCCGTCATTGCATTCTTGGCTTTTGCAAAGCCCCAATAAGTCCATCCAAATACTTCTAAAAGGCTCTAGAGCAACTCTAACAATATATCCAGAGTCTTTATAAAGTGTAATATTAAAGTTAAATGTCAGTCTAACAGTTTACCACCAACCCCCATTGGATGGACACTAAACTCGTAGGGTAATAGTGTGAGTGCCTTCCATCTTCTCTACTGTGCCTCTGCGAACATTCAGAAAATAGATTTAACACAAGAGTGGGTTCATATGAAGATGGCATCACATTAATTTACAAATGAAGAGTTTTGTGTATGAGCAGTTTGCATGCATGCATATATGTATACATATATACATATATACACATATACACATATACACATACACATATATATATGTATACCACATGCACGCCTGGTGCCCTTGGAAGCCAGAAGAGGGCATTGGATCCCCTGGAATTAGAGTTGGGAACAGTCAGTTATGGACGGGGTCATGAGCCATCATGTGGGTGCTGGGAATTGAACCCAGCTCCTCTGAAAGGATAGCAAGTGCTCTAAACTGACGAGCCATCGCTCCAGCTCCTGATTCACACATTTTAAAAGGACCGTTAAGGTGTACTCCTTAGCATGCATTTAAAAGAGATTTGGAGTGAGAAGAAGGAGGTGGCTGTCTACGGAGGACACATTGGAGCAGGACATGGCACTATGTAATCCATAGTCTGATCCAAGGAAGTGGCCTTTACATCCTGACACTTGACTGTCCAGAAAAAGACAGCGACTGACATCTGACCTCACTGATGAGAAACTCACAGGAGACACATCTCTGTGCTGCATGTGCTGACAGCACCCACCTCTCAGTAATGTCACTCTGGTCTCACAATTGCCTCGAGGAGAGCTTGATTTGCTCCTGTCTCCTCTGTGAGACTTGGACAGCCAGCCACATGCTGTCCCCATCTGCTCATAGGAAACCATTTTACTTCCCAGTGTGAAAAGGGGGGATTCTCAGGATTGAAAACAAATTTAATGAACATGAGTTTGAGACGGTATCTTTTCAGAAAGAAGCAGGGAGATGGCTGTGGTCATTCTGCATCGTCCTCCTGACCGCAGGACAAAGAAATGTCTTCGTGAGTGCACAGCCGCCAAGCTTCTGTGGCGCTTCATCTCAAAGAATGATGTAGGGAAATTTTGATTGTAAGTAATTTATAGCAAATGATCCAGTTATGCGAGTTTGGGTATTTGGGGGATGTATCCAGGTTAAATATCCTCTTAACTTATCATTCCAAAGAGTCTAAGACTTTTGACAAAGGACAGCGGGATAATTACGCTTACAAGAGGCCACTGTAAAACTTGCCAGGACCACTCTTCACCACAGCTTGGGATTTTTAAAAAATATTAAATCCATTTGTACTTTCTGCTTTGCAATTTTACTCATCTTTATCTGTGCCCCTCCCCTCACCAAACAGTATTCTGTATCACCTTGCTAAAAAGTATGCCTTAGCTAAGCCTGGTGATTCAAGCCTGTAATGCCAGTTACCTGGGGAGGCTGAGGCAGGAAGATTGCAAGTTCAAGGCATGCCTCAGCTACAGAGAAAAATTCAAGGTTAGCTTAGATGAATAAGTGAGATACTGTCTTAAAGTGAGAGGCAAAGAGAGGGCCAGAGATGCAGCTTAATGCTACAGCACTTGCCTGGCATCCGTGTGCTAGGCACAGGGTTCCGTCTCCAGTACTGAAAAATAAAATGGAGAAGAAAATAAACACCACGACTGCCTCTCAAATGGTAGCCGCAGGTCACATGAATGCAATAGTCAGTCAGATGAACTTAAATGTGCAGCTTAGTCTCCAACCACATCACTCCAACCACACTGCAAAAGTTCATAGCCCTGGGAACATTGCCATCATCACAGCACCTTTGAATAAGCTTCGCAAACAAGAGCTGTGTAAGAAACCACAAACAGTTGTCAACGATTTCATAATATGTCTGTGGTCTGAAACATTTCCCACAATTAACTTCAAACTGCAAGAATAAAATGAATTGTGGTGAACTCAGATGGTCACAGTAAGCTCGGCTTGTTCATTTTAGCCAGGACCTGTTCCTTCTTCCTCACTTTGGTCCTGTGTCTGTCTACTTCTATGGTCACATGTCTAGATGGTTAGTAGGACACTGGGAAGATGTTCCTTCTAAGGTTGGTATTGTAAGGGCAAGAGTGGAGAGGGTAGGCCAAGAAGAAGCATTCTTGAGGAGGTTCCCACCCTCTGTAGTGAGGACTGAAGCTAGGGCTTCCCACATGTTATAGCCTCAGGGTCACTTTCAGTTATTTTGAGACAGAGCCTTATTAAGTTGTTCAGGCTGGCCTTAAACTTATGATCTTCCTGCCCCAATCTCCCTAGAGTTGGACATACCTGTGCTTTTGGGGAACATCTTTAAAACTATATTGACACATCTCTTCAAATGGCTCAAACAATGAAATTCTATCAGCATGCCCAACATTCAGGAGCAGCACAGAGACAGTCTCTCCCTCCAGCTGACCAGGAATGCAGCCAACTGGCAGTACCCACTGTCTGGCTATCACCCTTGCCCAGAGATTGGCATCTGTTGGAGAGAGATGCCTCTGGATTAAGTGTTTTCTCCAACGGAAGGTTATATACAATAACGGGCTGATAGAATTATGAAATTCAGTCTCACCTCGAGGTCTATGCAAACTGTAGAGTTCCCTGTGGAGTCAACATTTGTTGTGACTGACTCAATCTAACTTGTCTTTACCTGATCCTGTGTTCTTTCCTTCCTCTCTTGGGTATAAATCCCAAAATGACTCCCTCAAAGCCTCTTTCGGCACCATTATATCTGCACCTCAATAGTCCATATGCCTCTTTACACACACACACACACACACTTGTGTGTGTACACAAATGCATACATAAATATACATACACAGAATCATAGTTTACAATATTAATAGATCAAAAGAGAAAAATCATTCAATTACTCCAAGCATTAAAAGACATTTTTAAATAACTCCTGCCTCTAAACAAAGCCTTTATTAAGTGAAATAGGAATGAATAAAAAAATGCATACACTAATTTAGAGATTAGTTACTAATAACCAATATCAGTCTTAGTGATATTAGATATTCTATTCTTTTTAATATTTTTTGTTTTCTTTGGTACTTTATAGAACACAGGACTTGGTATATTCTAGGCAAATGCTCTATCAGTGAGTTAAACCCCTAGCCTTTAGTGGTTGTTTTGTTTTGAGATGGGGTCTTAAGATTAAGTACCCTAAAATGACCTTAAATTTGTCATCCTCCAGTCTTAATTGAACACTATTTTATAGTAAGAGAAATCCTTAAAAAGCAAAATAAAAACAAAAACAGTACAAACAACACACACACACACACACACACACACACACACACACACACACACACTGATTAGCTCTAGCCAATTCTAGAACAGCGTCAGCCAAGAAAGGTTCCGGCAGCATGTTTGATACGACTAACCCTTCTGGACACAGACAGCCTTTAGTCACAGAGAAGACTGAGTGTGTGATTCCATAGGGGGATGCAAGACCACAGCTGCATGGAAAATGTTTCTGTCTCTTTAAGCCATCATCATCCGGCCTTTCTCTCAGTTTCCTGATCTCTAAGACCCAGGCAGCCTAGCGACTTCCGCTATGCTCAGCCCTGGGCACAGAGGCTTCTGCACTCACAAGCGAAGGGAAGGCAGGAGGCTGGGGCTTCTCTGGCCCACTTCAGAGACTGTCATCAAGAAAGGTGAGCCGAAGGCTATGAGCTGGGGTAGAGAGGAGGCTGGGCTTGAGACTAAATCATCTGCTGCCTACACACCTGCATCGTACAAAACACTGTGCACCATACCGTGCATGCGACACAGGCAAGGGAAGGCTTCCAGGTGCTTTAGGATGGTCTGGGTTTCAACTTGACAAGTTTGGAGGAAGTCTTAGGAGTTCATACTTCAATGAAAAAACTTATCTCTTCCTACACTTCTTTCATACAGTAAGGGAAATCTATTCTAGATCTCCTTCCAGGAGCAAAGCACAGCTTAGAAGACACCATTCCTCAGGATGCTCATTCAGCAAAGGCTAATATACTTCTGTGTCCGTATAAACTCTGCTTTCGAGGCCATCCTTAATGCACCACGTCTGTCCCTCAGAAGTCTCTTCTCCTCACTGCCTATAGGAGGGGCTCTAGCAGACTTGAGAGGAGTGGAATTAGCCCTCACTTGCCATGTAAACCTTTGCTTCCTGATTCTGAGTTTGTCCCAGTCCAACTATAGGGATACCTCTGTTCCTTCGTGTCTACAAGCAAGGGTTTAAGAGATAGCGATTTTCAAATTCTGGATTCAGATTAAGCTTGTGAGAAATATCCCATTTGTTGTATCAGAACTACTGAGAATAGATCCAAGAAATGTGGTGTTGAGGGGAACACCTAAATATTAAAAAAAAAAAAACAAAACCCAAAAAACAAAAAACAAATAAACAAACCCGTAGGCAAGGAACTGGTCTATTCTTGGGCTCTCTCAAGCTTATAGAATTGCATGTGCTTCATGTTCCCAGATAATAAAACCATTTATCACCTGAGATTCCACTCCGTGTTTACTTTTCTCTTAGAAACTGTTGAAAGGAAGCTGAGCCTCCACTCTGAACTCTGGGAAGTCCTGGTGTCCTGCCCTGGGTTTCCCATGGAGTCCCTGTACATGCTTCCTCATTTTCCTCCAGGGCAAGCTCCTCAACCTCCTGCAGAAGCCTTGATCATTGTTCTCAGTCTTATGGCTGTTCCTTCATTTCTGATCTGTGTCATTTGTGGGCATTTGCTGATTTCTGCACATAGAACAGTGACATGGAATCACACAGTGAGTTCTGCTAAAGGCCTTGAGAGATGGAAGGGGTACTAGCCCAACCTGTTTCCAAAGCCATTCTGTGGGAGATAGGCTACTGAGTTAACATTTCCCTTCTCTGTGTGTTGTGCCCACAGGAGGGAGAGAGGAAGGAACACATCACCCATAGTGGACACAAAGAGATGGACTCTGAAATGATGCAGAAATGCAGACAAGACAGGAATGTGGAACCAATGCTAGCACCAGAGAAAGGCCAGGGAGGGCTGGAGAGGCTGGATCTGATTTCTGGGCAGTAACTGGCTGAGACCTGTTAGCTGGAGGAGAGGACAGAGGGGACACTGCTTTGGCTTAGGGACTCCTGGAATCAGGACTACATGACTCGAAAATGCTTGGGTGTATCAAATAATGTTACAATCAGAACATAGGTGGAAGACGAGAAGCATTTAAACAAAGAGCTTGGAGACTCATAAACTTCGTGGAGTTGGTTCTCTACATCCACTTTTACAGAGGTCAGGAGAGAAAGGTCAGGTTGTCAAGCTCGCACTGCAACCGTCTTTCTGGTCCCCCTAGATGTTATTCTTCAAAATCCAGATGCTGTCTCTAAGAAGGAATAGCAGAATTTATTATGGTGGACACAAGGTGCCCTCCACTTGTAAACTGAAATCACACACCTAAATGTTCAGCTCCTTGTAAACAAAAGCCTTGCTCTGTAACTCCAGAGTCCCCCAGTTCTTTAGACTTTGCCTGACTTTGTGGTTGGGTTTTGCTCAATTTCAGGAATGAGCACATGAATGAGAAAACCAAACTGAGAGCCTTCTAAGAAGCATGAGGGGAAGGAAGATGGCAAGAGATGAGGAAGGCGCCTATGGTAAGAGCCCTTCCCGGAAATACATCCCGGCTGGTGTATGAACTCAGGGTAAGAAAGGGGTGGAGCTTCCTCAGTTCTGGAAGCCTATAGCAGAACTGTGTCTCTGACCCTGTTCTGCTGGGAGCTCAGAGCTTTGACCAGCCTCTCAATGGTTCTCACAGCATGAAGGGAGGATCCTAAACCTACTCTGGTTTCCACAAAAATAACACAGGATGGGAAATCCAGAACTAGAGCGAGCTTCACTCACCAGGTCCCCAGTGTTAGGAGGATAGTGGATTAACTATGTATCAGTATTTGGACTCAGGGAGATGACTGGGTCGGTAAAGGCACAAGCTGCCAAACCTGATGAGCTGATATCAACTCCTGAGCCCACATGATGGAGGGAGGGAACCAACTCTTTAGCTTCCATGGGATATGGTGGTAGGACTCCCAAGTAAATAAAAGGTAATAAACTATTATCCAAAGGGGGCTGTATTCTCTTTAGGGAGCCGGCTTAAGACAGGAGACGTGAGAGAGGGAAGAAAGCGAACTCTCTTCTCTAACTCTCCAACAGCCCCGAGAAAGCCCCATGCTACCTTCACTTTTGAGCTGTGTCTTAGACTGAGCACTTCCTGCGTTTACACAAGAAGCACATGGTGGGTGGCAGCCCACCCCATTGTCTAGGATTGAGGGGCTCTCCTGTGCTTGACCGTCTCGGGGGAACATTAGTGTCTCAATTCAGCATCAGGTCGGCCTGTATGCAGGACCACAGACCCTGGTAAACCCAGGAGTTATAAAGGAATATTTTGTGAACCGTCAGTGGGAGCATCTGCAGGTGCGCAGAGAATCCAGATGTAGAAAGGAGAGATGGGGAAGGGCCTGAGCTTAAAGAGCCCAAAGCAGACGGGAGCACCAGGCTTCCAAGGGGAGCAGGCAATGTGGGTCATTCCCTTGTATGCTGAAAGGTTGAATATAAGCAGTGTCCCAGAGGAAAGCCTTTGTCTCTGACTCGATGCTGCTACATCTGATCCTCAGGCTCAGAGGAGGACTCCAGGGCCCCGCAGGAGCCGCAGCTGAGGTTCATCCTTGTGGGCAGGACTGGGACCGGCAAGAGTGCCACCGGCAACAGCATCCTGGGCCAGAAGTGCTTCCTGTCCAGGCTGGGGGCGGTGCCTGTCACCAGAAGTTGCACCTTGGCCAGCAGAAGGTGGGCCGGCTGGCAGGTGGAGGTGGTGGACACCCCGGACATCTTCAGTTCCGAGACCCCGCAAACCGACCCCGGGTGCGTGGAGGCAGCCCGCTGCTTCGTGCTGTCGGCTCCCGGGCCGCACGCACTGCTGCTGGTCACCCAGCTGGGTCGCTTCACCCTGCAGGACAGCCAGGCGCTGGCTGCCTTAAAATGGGTGTTCGGGAAGGAGGTGTTGTCGCGCACCATCGTGGTGTTCACGCGAAAGGAGGACCTGGCCGGAGACTCCCTGCAGGATTATGTGCGCTGTACGGACAACCGCGCGCTGCGGGAGCTGGTGGCCGAGTGCGGGGGTCGCGTGTGCGCTCTCAACAACCGCGCCACAGGCAGCGAGCGCGAGGTTCAGGCTGAGCAGCTGCTGGGCCAGGTCGCGAGCTTGGTGAGGGAGCACGGGGGCGCGCACTACTCCAATGAGGTGTACGAGCTGGTGCAGGCCATGCGGTGCTCTGATCCTCAGGACCAACTCGCCAAGGTGGCGGAGATGCTAGCTGCGCGCATGCAAACACGCACAAGGTTCCTAGCTGGGCTGTGGAGATGGCAGAAATCCTATAGGAAGGGCTGGAGACGGGGTGTGGCTGTCTTCCTGGGTGTGGCCTTGTTGATCTACTTGCTGCTCTACAGAAAGGTCCCAGGCCTTTGGGGACCAGAATAACAGATAACAGTCTTAGAAGATGTTATGAATAGGAAGGAGATATTTTTTAAAACGGAATACTTAAGAACTCTGCTCAGAGCTTTTGTGATTCACAGTGCGGGAACATGGCATCAACTTTGCTAAGGCTCGGTTGTGCTGAGTCTCAGCTTTAACTATATTCAGAGTTTAAAAAAAAAAAAGTGTCCTTCAGACATTTCATCCATCCTTCGCTTAAAATAGTGAAATACACCCAGTAGCTTGTAAATGGGGGCAAAAATCACAGCATAAAGAGAACACACACTTTCTTTTCCTTGTTTTTAAAAAAATATGCTCTTATTTATTCTTTGAGAATTTCATATATTTTGATCATATTCTCTCACTTTCCCCGAGTCCTCCCAAGTCCTCCCCACCTCCCTACTCACTGAACATCATGTTTTTGTTTTTGGTCTTGGTCTTAATAACCAAACAACAACATGAAGTCCGATATACTCCCGAGCATGAAGCCTGCCCTGGGGTATGGTTGATATACCCAGTGTCACTTCATTGAAGAAAACAGATTTTCCTTCTCCCAGGAGCTATAGTTTGTGACTAGCTCCTGGCTGGGCTGGGATCTTGTGCCCACAGCCTTTGTGAGATTTGCATCGGGCTTGCACTTGCTCAGGTGTTGTGTACACGGTCACATCGACTATGAGCTCATGTGTGCACCTGCCCTGTTGTGTCTGGGAAACAGTTTCCTTGAAGTCATCCACCACCTTTGGCTCTTACAGTCCTTCTGCCCTCTTCCACAGAGCTGAGATAAGCCAGCCAGGGATTTCCTTCTAGTGTTCAAACCAAAAACACAAAGTCTGGAAATTGGCTTCATTAATTAACATTATTAATGAGAGAAGAGTCACTGCCTACCTTCAAAAGAACACTTGCCGTGACTTTTGGGGTGTGTGTGTTAACTTGTTCCTCTGTAAAAAGATTTTAAAGGTTCTTTTCAAAAAGAATTATCTCAAGATGGATGTGGCACCTGTCTGCTCGGAGGTGTAGCAGGAGGACTAGGTGCTCCCCTCCCAGCTCTGATAAACATCTTGTTTATCAGATGTTAACTCTGATAAACATCTTGTTTTTCTTACATATCTTGTTTTGTTGTTTATTGCCCCCAGCTGCAAGGTGCACATGGTAAAGTGTCTTCAGCTGCGTTCCCCTGCTTGTGCTTATATACACCCATGATTTCCTTTCAATAAAGGAGACTTGATCAGACTCTGTCTTGTCTTCATTTTTTGCGTTTCTTGCCCTTCCATCCCCACTCTCTCTCTTGTTAGACCCTGACCTGCAGGCTGGAACAGCAGCTAGGGCCAGGACAAAGTGGCCCCAAAGGTGGAGCAGAATGGGCTGTTACACTGTGTGGTGGTGGTCTTGGTAGGGTGACCTCTGATAGGTTTCTGAGAGATTCTGAGCTTTTCTGAAGAGTTAAAAAGGGCAAAGGATGAATAAAAATCAAAATGGAAAAAAATCTCTTCAATAGGACAGAACTATCCTTTGGAATTCTCTTTTCCTTTCTTTCTTAAAAATCAAAATAATAATAATAATAACCACCCAAACCCTTAAAACCTTTTGTTCTTCTTTGCCTTTGCTTTGAGATGTATATCTTTAAAAAAAAGCAAAAAACAAACAAACAAACCATTTTTCTTGAATTGAGGAGTGGGAGAATCTTGTGCTCTGAGCAGCCTCTCTTTGAAATGCAAACATCAAGGAAAGTCAGACCCTACCTAGCTCCCTGGGTCTAACTTAGCTTGAAGCCAAACTGCAGGGCCCTCCCTGTTGCAAACCTTCCTCTTCCCCTAAGGACATAAAAAGCTACTAGCAACTAGCAGACACAGTTGGTTGCTACAAGTTTAAAGTAAAGGACAGAGGACAGAGACACCAATAAAGGATGCTGCCACATCTTTTTGAAGAAGAGCTAAGGCTTTTTATTAGACAGACTCACACAGTGGCCTAGGCTGGCTTCTAACTCAAGGCAATCCTCCTGTTTCAGCCCCTTGACAAACTGGGATAAGCCATCCTGCTCAGCTTGAGTTATCTCTTCTCTTGAAAATCCATGCAGAGGGCTGTATCTATCTGGCTTTAAATTACCTGTCCATCTTCCCTCCTTTCATCTCTCCTCCTCTTTCCTCTTCTTTCTTCCACTTCCTGTGCAGTTTCTTAGTGTGTCACCTCCCTAGACCCCTTAAAATCCTAGTGTTCACAACTGAGGGCCAAGTATACTTCCCTGACAACAGAAAACATCATGGGGGAATTCTCTGAGACGAGAATCGCCCTGCATAAGCCAGCACTATGTTTCATGTTCAAGACTTAAGCTTAACAGGTACAAAAATAAAGAAATACTTCACCCTTGCCCTGTCAAATAGCAAAGAAGGGGTAGCCAGCACCAGGTCTCCTGTCTGAGCTTAGCTGTCCTTTGAGAGGGGGTGGTCCAGGTTCTCTGGGACCAGCGATGCTTTTCTGTCCCTCTTTAGGAGTTCTGAAGGCAGACCCGGTGATGTGGGACCCAGGGGGTTCAGGAAGTACAGATGCTCAGCTTGGGTGATGGTGGGGAATCTGGGGTTCAGCACTTTCCAGCCACAAGAGGGCTTACTTGAAAAGGAGGGCTGTCTTCCACTTCTCAGAGTCAGGCTCCCAAAACTGTGCACTTAACACCCCCTGAAGGGGAAATGAGTAGGGCAGGGAGGCTTTCCACAGGAAGTGGTCATTTACTAGAGCAGTTCTCCTGTGCTCTGGCGGATGTTCAAGGCCTTTCCACCTACCCGAGGGGATACAGTCTGCAGGGCAGTGTGTGTTCCGTCGTCACCATGAGTTTTCTTCTTTTCCTGCCTTCGGACTCTGGATTCATGGCGCTGCAAGTAGCTGTTCTGTGAGAGCATCGCTCAGCAGGCACAGGTCCACCACCTGCCTGTACGGGACGGCTTGCATAAGGAGGAACCCCACCGCGGCGCTGACAGCCCCTTGGGAGACACTGTGCACTCGGGTGAGCTTGGTGGGTTGGGTTTTCTGGACAGTGAGTTGAGTGTCGGCGACAGCATACGGTGGGACAAAGCCCTGAAATTTCCATGCCATCATCCCTAAGCCCTAGACTTTCTATCTCACCACTTGTGCCTTTCTGAAACCCTAAGATAACAAAGGTGAACGAATGCTTTTTCCCCTTTGACGGAGGAGTAACTGAAGTCCCATCGCTTGCTCACATACTTTCCCAAGCTCCTCCAGCAGGTGGAGCACATTGCCAGACGGGCCTCACCTGAAGAAGGGCAGGATGGCTCTACAGGCCAGAGGGAAATCTCCATGTTCCCTCCTTTATGATCTAGCCCTTCCCTAGAAGACTGGTCAGTGAATTTTATCTTAGGATCTTGTTCTGAAAACCACCCCATTCTTCATGGCTGGGTATCCCACACCTTCACTTAACACACCTCAGGAAGCAGTGGTATGCCAACAGCCTTGTATTTAAGACACACATGAGCACCCTCTTTGTCAGCTGAACTTTACAGGAGGAGGTACAGTTTCCTGGACTTTTGGCAACTAGCCTGTCCTGAGACTCTTAGTACCTAGATTTAAAGGAATGGGGGAGGGGCAGATGGGTGGAGCAGGTGCCAGTGAAAATATTTGTTTTACTTTTAGTTGTGTGAGGGAATGCACTGGTGCCACCAGACACTTATGGAGATCAGAGGACAGCTTTCTGAAGTCATTTCTACCCTTCTGCTTGGCAGAACCGGCTTCTTTCTTGTTTCTGCCACACCCTGGGCTAGCTGGCCTGACAGACTCTGGCTGATTCTCCTATCTCCATCAGCTGCCTCACTGTGTGTCATGCTGGGACTACAGAAGCAGGCCAGCATATCCAACTTTTCATGCGGGTACTGGTCCTCAGAGTCAAATCTTCAAGCTTGTGTATTGGGTGCTTTGCCCTGGGAGTCATTGTTACCAGCCTGATATTTAGCGAGGAAGACAGGAAAGACTATCTCTCTCAGCTTCCTGACTAAGCTGTGTTCTCATTGCTTGGTAAAATAAATTGTCCTGATAAGTTGGCTTGGCTGTTTTCAGACAAGAATGAGTGTTTGGGTTTGTACTTCTGCCTCCTCCTTGAGGAGGAGCCTTCCTGCTGCCCCTTGTCAACTGCCGCTACCACACATTGCCTGCCAATCTCCCATGGCCTCTGCACCCACGCTGGAGAATGTTAGCAGAACTTACCCTTTGTAGAAGAACTCTACCTCCATTGTCAGTCTACCCACAGATGTGTGCTCTTCAAGACAACAGCCACGTCTCTTCACGTCCATCACACCCCCCCACCCTCTCTTTGTTTCTAGGCTCTTGACTGACTTTTCCTGTTTGATCTGTGACTCATTTTAATGTCTCTGTCTCATGCCCTTGCCTCACCTCTGGGCATTTGGATATTTATTCATATCTGCCAATTAATTTGTTCCTCAGTGGAGTATATGTCCCCTGTAGCCTGTCAGATTTCTCAGAAACTGACTCAGAAACTTCCCTGCTAATACTGTTGAGTTTGGTTATGACAGCCACACTGTACACATGCAATTGACATTGAGATCCAAGTTGGGTTCAAATTGAAATCCTTCAAAATAGAACAGATACCTCCCATGTAGTCTTATCTTTGAGTAATTCTTTTTCTCGGTTGGGTATTTTCGGTTTGTAAAAACATGAACCTAGACATAGAAGTGCAGTTCTCAATGTTGGTTTGGGAGAGAATTCCAGCAATCAGTACCTGCTTTGTGTCCAAAGTATGGAATCAGCAGCAGCATCTGTGGGGTTCCAGGAAGAGAGGATTGTGGATTTATTATAGACAATCTCCTCAACTCCCCACTGACTATTAAATCTAAAAGAAGACACAGATGAAAGAAGCCATTTGGGGTGGCTAAGCTATAAGAGAAATGTGTGACTCTGGGGAGGCCATGTAACTTTAATAGAAATTCCAGGAGCCTGTCAATAACAACACAGGGGATACAGGGGAAAGGTGGTTATGCAAGGAGCCTGGAAATGACATCTGCACCGAGGACGGTCATGGCGGGGAAACTCAGCTTCATTCCCGCTGACTCTGTTACCCTTCACCTGCAAAATGCAGAAAGTTAGAAGAAACAATGCTCTATGATTTGAAGAATTTTAATTCAAATCTGGATATAGCTTACAGTAGTCAGAACGGTGTGTGAGAAATAGCCGTGAGAGGGCGATTCTTCTGTAGGAGGAAGGAAAGGAGGGAGAGAAGAGTGAGGAAAGGAAGGGTATGAGGAGGTGGATAAGGAAGGAGAGAGGAAGAGAAGGGGAAGAGAGGAAGAGAGGAAGAGAGGGAGAGAGGAAGAGAGGGAGATGCCTTAAGATATTCTGACAATGTGAAAATAATAGTTTTCTATGAAGAGGTCCAAAAAAAAAAAAAAAGCTTTTTTTTCCCAAATTAAAATTGTGAAAGACAAAATAACAGAAGCATCCTATGTAGCATGCATGCTATGAATTATTATAATTCAACCACCAGTCAAACATCCATAAGGGTGATTAAAATAGTGTGTCGTCATGGAGCAGATGTGGAGATTTGGGGATTTTACCTGAGATTCTGGGGCGAGCAAGAGCTGACTTGACCCACACAGGGTGAGACCTGGTCACATCCATCCAGCTAACAGAAAATCTGTGCTCTAGGTGAACAGTTCAACAGGAGTGCTGAGGGGTACCTAGGAGGATTATTTCATAGCATTCTTTGTTGTGAAAAAGCAACAATTTCAGAGCAGTTTAGATGCCTGTTAATAAAAAATGAATAACATGTTGCAAAAAATGACATTTATGTAAAGGTTTAACATGAATGTGTCTAACTAAGCATGTGTATGCAAATACATATAAAATACTCACATCATATAAAAGCATCAAAATACTGACAGCTGTGAAGGCCAGAATGCGAGAGCGAGACAGAAGATTGGGGAAAACACCAAAAACCATGAAGCGTAGCTGTGATGCTTTAATTTTTAAGTCAGGCTGTGCAGTCACGTCGGACAGCAAATCACTTACGTTCATTCAAATGGCGGCTATGTTTTCATTCTATGGTTTTTATGCACATTTTTCCAAGTACAAGTATGTTTTAAAACAACGAACATTGAAAAATTAGCTGACTAAAACGAGCCGGGAGTTCACCCAGGAGCGGTTGGTGTCACAGGCTAGCCATTCCTGTTCCATTTTATTATACCAAAACCAGCAAAACAACATTACAGCCCTTTGCACAGAATACGTATGCCATGCTCAAGCCAGCTTCTAGCTGAATGTACTAAAATACAAAGATTGTGGTTACTGATAAACCAGGACCTCAGAACCAGGCAGGGAAGATGCCTTATTTGACCTCCTGACCTCCTGACCTCCTTCCCCTGGGCCAGTCCTTGGAGAAGTTGCCTTACTCCAGTCCATCCTCCCAGGGAAAGTGTGCTAGATTGCTTCTTTGACTCTCAAACATCTTTTAGAAACACATGGTACTTCAAACAAATCAATATCATTCACAGGAGAGCAATTATTTTCTCTAGTCTTGCAAGTTCATCTACGTTGGTTCAGTTTTTGTTGTGGTTTCAGAAGAATGCTTCCCACATTATGTACTTTGAGCTTGAGGAGGTAATCAGTTCCTCTGTAGTGGACACCCACTTTCCTGCCAGGAAGGAAAAACAATAGCAATAGCACCTTGTGCTGGGATGACCTCACCTCACTCCAGCTGCTACTTACAGATGTTTCAAAGTAACACATAGGTGAGAGAGTTAGCAATGGAGCTGGCCACCCGAGGATAGTTACCCTTAGTTACCTGAGTTAAAAGCCGTACCAGTCCCCACAGGGACCTGACTTTAATTCCTTTCCAATTTTTGTTCCAGAAGAGAATGGCAGACCTTCAGAAGAGCACATATGGAACTATAGTTGAAGTTGAAGGTAAGAAAACACCAAGGTCCTAAGAGGTTGATAAGTGAAGGGAGTAACTGTTCCTCTCCACTCCAAAACAGGTGCAGATACGCAGTTAAGGTCTAGCGGGGTGTGGGGAAGGCAACTGGTATTTGTTTCTCATGTCTCCAATTCTATTGTGTCCAAGCTATTGTTTTTTTTTCATGTACACATATGCACACATACCTACACACATGCACACACATATACATATATACAAACAAACATACACACACACATGCACAGAGAGGTACACATTCACACAGACATATATGCTTACAAATACACATGTGTACACATGCATGTGCATACACAAATACATGTACACACACACACACATTCCACTGTAACGCTGTGGAAATGTGTCTTTGACACTCATTCAGTGTTAGAGGGGCCTGGAACTAAATTGTGGCAGTTCCTCTTCCTTCATCTCCTCTCAGCTGCAAAAATTTTGAAAAAAATCCTTTAAAATGATTATTTCTTATAACACACCCCCAAAAGTCTAAAGGAAATGGAAAAAAAAACCCAGCAAAGAATAAAAAGAATAAAATATACTGAAATGTAAACAGAGGGCCTCATGCTTGCGGGATGGGCATTCTACCACTGAGCTATAACCCAGCGCTCCACCCGAACGAGAGATTTCTAGTTTATAATGTACTTAAACTTTGTTTGGACTCACAGGACCCACATCCTCATCCTGTCAATGCTGGAGATTTGAGCTCTTATCTCCCCAGTGTTCCCCACCCAGCTATCCTTCTGTATCGGGCCCTGGGCCACACCTGACCAATCAGAAGACCTTTCTGACATGTCCTCTTTGTCTGCTTCTAAGTGTTTCTAACCATCTTCTCTTCTACCCTTCTCACTGTAGTGTCGTTCCCAGACTTCTACCTGACACTGTCACCCTCCCTCATCTCAAATTCAAGTGCTACTTTGCTTCCTAGCATACCCAGCCAGCTCTGAAAGTGAGTCACTGAGGCTTTTCCACCTAAAATACCTTCGGGGTTAGGAGGCGCATGCTGAGCACATTCACAGTCTGTCTGGAGAATTGTGGGTAAGGAGGTAACTCTGTTCTGTCGGCCACGACGTCTCATCCATCTCTGCCTCCTTCTAAACTCATACTTATTTCATGACCAGTTTTCTGGGGAGCTGCCCTGAGCATCTTCCGGGGGAGAGCACAAGAACCTCTTCTTCAGAAATGACCTATTTGTCTTGGTTCAGATGGAACAGAGCCTCTCCTTCCTGTGACACTTCTCCCCCTTAGCTGACTCCCAACAGAGACTCTGTGAAAGTCGAGAGCCACCTAAAATTATAGGCAAACAGTTGGGATGATTAAGTGATATCTATTTTTGGGGGGTGGAGGACCATTGCTTTGAAGAGCTATCCACAAGGATCCATGACCTCAAAGTCAGAGGAATCACTAAGTGACACATAAACCTTCTCTTGCCCACAGGACAAGAAGTCTGCTGTGTAGAAGATTCGAGCTGCCTGAGGATCCTCCTGGTGGGCAAATCTGGCAGCGGGAAAAGTGCCACAGGGAACAGCATCCTTCGACGACCAGCATTCAAGTCCAGGCTAAGAAGCCAGTCCGTCACCAGGACCAGCCACGCAGAGATGGGCTCATGGGAGGGAAGGACCATCCTAGTTGTAGACACACCTCCCATCTTTGACTCAAAGGCCCAGGACCAAGACATGGACAAGAACATTGGAGACTGCTACCTGCTGTGTGCCCCAGGACCCCATGTGTTGCTGCTGGTGACCCAGCTGGGACGCTTCACAGCTGAAGATGCCATGGCTGTCAGGAGGGTGAAGGAGGTCTTTGGGGTGGGGGTCATGAGGCACATGATTGTCCTCTTCACCCGCAAGGAAGACCTGGCAGATGGATCCTTGGAAGAGTTTGTGACCCACACTGACAACCGCAGCCTGTGCAACCTTGTCTTGGAGTGTGGAAGGAGGTACTGTGCCTTCAATAACAGGGCCTCTGGGGAGGAGCAGCAGGGGCAGCTGGCCGAGCTCATGGCCCTGGTGAGGAGGCTGGAACAGGAGTGTGAGGGTTCCTTCCACAGCAATGACCTCTTCGTTTATGCTCAGGTGCTCCTTAGAGGTGGCTACAGTGAGCAGCAGGATCCACACAGGTTCTACCTGGCCAAGGTGAGGCAGGAGGTGGAGAAACAGAAGCGGGAGCTGGAGGAGCAGGAGGGCAGCTGGATAGCTAAAATGCTTTGCATAGTCAAGTCCTACTTGGGCTCCCACACTGCGGTATCTGCTCTTCTCATTGTGCTTGGTTTGACCTTTCTTACCACTTTAATTGACTTTTATATTAGCAGACGGAAATGAGCCTTTTTGGGTGATTTCTGCCAGCATCCCTATCCCCCAAAGTTCCCCATCTCATGTCAGGGATCCTCAGTCTTCCAATGAATTTCACTCTCATTCGATTCACATGGATCACACATGCCAGGAATCTTCTTCAAAATAAAGGATGAAAGAAAAATGTATTTCTCTCTTTGTTGAAAAGTTGTGAGGACAGATAATGAAGCAAGTAGCTACCATTGTAGAGGTCTGGGGGCTTGCACAAAGGGAGACACATGGACTGTGTGGCAGTGGGTATGTCTCTCCTACAGCCCTACTTCTTATAGATGTGATGCCAAGAGGAGAAACACAAAGCTAAGAGCCGAGTCGTATATTAGTCATAAGTACACCCTGACCTCACGGTACCAATAAAGTCAGAACTCCATCATCGTTCCAACCCTGAAAAAGATAAAGACAGTGTGTGTGAAGCAGAGGACTTAGAAGGTATAGAAGAAACTGGGGTTGGGAAGCCAGGACATGACTGGGGTCAGAGTGAAGAGGTTACAGAAGCAGGGTGGGTCTTACCCCAGAAAAGCAGGGTCAGCAGTCAAGAATCACAGGAACCAGAAAGTCAATAATCAGAGATACACATGGCCAGAGGTGCGTACCTTAGGCTTGGAAGATTGTGTGATGGGCATCATAGGCTCTCAACAACACATGCAGGCAGAAGCCACTATTATAAGACTGTGTCGAGCCTTCACTTACTGGAGGATCCCCGAGTGAACAATTCAGAGCTGGGGACTGATGCAAAAGCAAGAGGAATTTTATTGTTCCAGCATGCTGGGGTCATCCTGTATCCATTGAGAGGCGACCAGGGGCAGCTCATTCTGTGAACCTTTATACAGTTTCCAGGGGCAGAATAGAGAAACAGCAACTAGGCCCAATATGATTAGCAGAACAGTGTGACTTTTAAACTGATTGGTCCTCAGAGGATGGGATGGCAAGAGCTTTCCTTGTCTGTGAGGGTGGTGGTGGTAGCAATGGTTGGCCTACCCTGAGGAATGTGTCAACTTGCTCTGAGCTTCCCTTATCTGCAGGTGGTCAATGATTGGTCCCCCCACTGTGATCTTCCTGAGGAATATGATTCAGCATTTCCATTCTGGAAGGGAGGGATATCTACCTGTTCTAAGGACTGCTCTCTTTTGGGAAGGGAGGGGGCCTGGTGGAATTTTCAAAAGGCTATGAGATGACCCCTTCACTATGATCAAGAGGCCCTGCATTCATAAATCTGATGAGCACTGAGTTTTGAATTACATGTAATTTTTATGAAGCTAGCACATTGTTCCCCTGAATCCTTTAGTCATAAAAAAAAAGTGAAGCTGTATTGGAAAACCAGTGCAGGAACTAGGATCGTATACTCCATAGAACTGGAGATTGCATCCCAGCACCCACACCTGGGAGCTCACAGCAATCTAATTCCAGCTCTGGCTCATCCCTTCTGGCCTCCACAGGCACTGCATTCACAGGTGCACACCCCCCCCACACACACAAATCAAAATAAAATAATTATTATTTAAATGTGAAAATCAGGTTGGAAAAATGGCTCAGGGGGTAAAGTGCTTGCCAAACAAGTGACCACATAAAACCCAAGCTCAGTGGCATACATCTGTAACTCCAGATCTAAAGAGGAGGGGAGACAGGAAGATCCCAGGGGCTCTCTGGCCAGCCAGTCTGGTGGAAAAGGTGAGTTCCAGGCTTGGTGAAAGAAATGTTGTAAAAAAAAAAGTTATTCAAGAAAGTGAAAGAATTTTACAATGGAAATTGTGAAACAGAGAAAGAAATGGAAGAAAACAGCAGAAGATGAAAGGGTTGGTCATACTTGAGAATTAATACTGTGAAAATGTCAATACTGTCGAAACCAACCTATAAATTCAATACAATATTTGTCGAAATGTCAGTGTCATTCTTTAAAGAAATAGAAAAAAAGATCCCAGCATTCCTATGGAAGCTGCTGAGGAGCACCTTGAGGACACAAGAGATCCCAGACAGTTAAGGAGTAATCTTGGCCAAAGAACAATGCTGGGGGTATCATCAACCTGATTTGAAATTGTATTACAGAGACATAGTAATGGCATCAACGACAACAGAATCAGAAACACGGATAGAGTCCCAGACAGTAACCCACATAGGGGAAGCCATGAGATTTTTGACAAAGATGCAACAAATACATACATACATATATATATGAGAAAAGACAGTATGGGCAGTGAGGGCAGGCCAGCTGAATCACTGTACAGCTAACAATTGCTGCACACTAACAATACAGATAAATATGAATCATGTATGTAAATGATAGGAAAGAGCAGTGAAATTGTCCAGGGAATAGAGGAACTGACGAGAGAAGATAGGTAGGTAGGGAATGTGGGGACGTGCTAAAAGCACATGGTAGACCCGCATGAAAGTGTTCTTTCCAACCCCAGTGCTAAGTACAATACATTTACACAAACTTTAAATGTTATTTTTAAACACTGACAGAAATAAAGGCGATATGAAGATTTCTTTATTACTTCAAATGCTTTCAAATGTGTGCAAAGAGACTTTGTTAACAGTCAGGCTCATCTCAGGAGAGCCAAAAGGGACTCCGAAATAGTGGTGGACAATCAGGTATCTTCACAGTCAGCTCCCAGGAACACACAACAAGACACGCCATTAACATGCACCTCCTCCCCCATAAAAAGCCATGTTTTCCCTTCCCCCACCTCGTTCTACACCCCCCGACCCCGCAGACTCTGTGCCTCTTTCCCTTAATAAACCTACCAGTGAAACCTGCTGCAGGGTGTGGTTTTGTTAGAACTGCCTCCTAGTTCTATCAGAATTGAAATTCAAATCACCTACTGGGGAGAGTTATTGGCCAACCTAGGTGGCAATACAGAAACTGGGTGAGCTTTGGAGCGGGGTGGTGGAGACCTCAGTTCCCTCCGTCTCACCAAACAACATTCAGAGCAAGATGAGAGGCTGTTTCTATCTGTGGGTCTCCCTGGGTAAGGAGAAACCTGTAGCTCCTCCCCCAGGGACTCTTATTGACTTCTCATTGGTTGGCATGGGCCCGCAGGCTCTTTTCTGGATCCATCATTCATAAAGAGAATAGGAAAGTATTTAGACCAGACATCCTAGGAGCTAAGGAGAGATGCCTGGACCAAACCAGAACTCTAAAGGGGAAACAGAAGAGGCCCACAACAGCAGTGTCCGCAGACCAGTATGGCAGGGCTTTCGGGGATCCCGCTTGAGGTTTAATAATAAAGACCCAGAGACATCTATCTAGTGTAAAGCTGTTGGCTTTTTGCTGAGGCAGTCTCTCAGCAAGCCTCTAATGTAACCCGACTTCTCCGCGACTGTGTAGCTTTGCGTAGCACTCACTGCTTACTTCCCTGTCTAGTTCTGTCTCCCTTCTGCCTTTCCTTTGCCTTGGTCTGCAACTCTCTGCTTCTGTTCCAGCCCCAGTGCAGGCTGCTAGCTCTTTATTACACAAAACAAACAAGGAAGCAAACAAATACCCAATCCCACCACACTCCTTACTCAACCAGTTCTAGCAAGACCACCTTCCCCAGGACAGCTTGCCTTTCTTTTGGGGGCCAGGAAGTGACGAACATTTACATATCCTGCTAGCCTGTTGCTGGCTCAATTAACAGTTGAAAACACCAGGATACACTTTTTTCCCCCCATAAGTAGAAAACACAGTATTTGTGTGTCATCCCAACACAGGAGAGTGGCCTTTAAACTGCAGAGCATCAAACATTATAAAATATAAGAAGAAAAATAACAAAGAAGATTAATATGGACAACACCAAAGACGCACAAAAATCCGAGTGCAAAGCCACCGACTTTTTGCCTCTGGGGAGCACCTTGAGAACCCATCTGCCCTTCTGCTCCTCCAGCTCCCGCTTCTGCTTCTCCACCTCCTGCCTCACCTTGGCCAGGTAGAACCTGTGTGGATCCTGCTGCTCACTGTAGCCACCTCTAAGGAGCACCTGAGCATAAACGAAGAGGTCATTGCTGTGGAAGGAACCCTCACACTCCTGTTCCAGCCTCCTCACCAGGGCCATGAGCTCGGCCAGCTGCCCCTGCTGCTCCTCCCCGGAGGCCCTGTTATTGAAGGCACAGTACCTCCTTCCACACTCCCAGACAAGGTTGCACAGGCTGCGGTTGTCAGTGTGGGTCACAAACTCTTCCAAGGACCCATCTGCCAGGTCTTCCTTGCGGGTGAAGAGGACAATCATGTGCCTCATGACCCCCACCCCAAAGACCTCCTTCACCCTCCTGACAGCCATGGCATCTTCAGCTGTGAAGCGTCCCAGCTGGGTCACCAGCAGCAACACATGGGGTCCTGGGGCACACAGCAGGTAACAGTCTCCAATGTCCCTGTCTATGTCTTGGTCTTGGGCCTTTGAGTCAAAAATGGGAGGCGTGTCTACTACTAGGATGGTCCTTCCCTCCCATGAGCCCATCTCTGCGTGGCTGGTCCTGGTGACGGACTGGCTTCTTAGCCTGGACTCAAATGCTGGTCGTCGGAGGATGCTGTTCCCTGTGGCACTTTTCCCGCTGCCAGATTTGCCCACCAGGAGGATCCTCAGTGACCCCGAGGTGCAGCCACCTTTCTTTCCGCCTGTGGGAGTGTACAGAAGTTCCGGTATAAGAAACGGTTCATGAAGAGGTTGGCCAAAAACTGATAAGAACTAGCGGGAACCAACTAGGAACTCAGCCCCTCTGGTTTAACAACTTCACACCCACCACACACGGGGCTTCTGGGATCAAGTGCGCCTGATAACCAGAGTCTAACGCATCTTTCCCCGAAGGACTGATGATTTTAGCATTATTCTAGGACCTTCTTCTGTACAAGTCTGAGGTGACAGGCCATTACAGAGTGCTCGGGGCCTTCTACGGTCGGTCATTCTGGCTGTCTGTTTCTTTATCTCTGTCTCCTCCCATCCGTCCTGATCTCTATTTTACAGATGGTGAGATATTATATTGAAGAACTTGCCCTTGTTTTGGAGAGGGTAACAGTTAATGACTTAATATGTCCAATTATCTGGGGGTGGGGGACGCTTCTCTTGCCTTAGGTGCCTCGAGGGAAGTTGGTCACTTTCTAGGCACTGAGCAGTCGTTGTTGATTGTGGGAGAGAGTCCTACCAACATCAGCCCTCTTACCTTTTACAACCTCCTGAAGAATTTCCATTTTTGTTTCTAGAAGGGGAAATATGCAAAAAGTGTTCATTTTGGATTTTAATACAATACACAATACCAAACCCAACATCTTGTAGGAAGAGACATCAGAGCAGAGAAAGAAAGTACTGCTGATGTCACACACAGACAGACAGACAGACAGACACACACACACACACACACACATACACACACACACACACACACTTACAGGTAGTTCTAAATGACCCAAAGGAGAAAGACTCAAGAAATGGGTTTATGTATGTGAGCATATGGACAGACTCATTGTCACCATAACTAGTCTCCATCCCACAGTAACAGTTCATTAAGCTGGTCAGTTATTTCCTATTTAACCGAGCACATGGCTGTCTGGGGGGGTCTTTGGGAACTCAGTGTTAGAGACTGGCCTCCCAACATCTCCACGAGACAAATGAAAATCTTCCCATGTTCCATGGCAATGGTTCTGCTGTGCCCAGAGCTGAGCTGAGGGCAGACCATGGGACTTTCTCTACCCAACCTGGGAAAGTTCCCAGCAAACCAGGAGCAGCTGCTCACCCAGGAGTAGGAGTCTGTTGTGGGACCTGTTTGGGAGTGGTGGGCTGCCCCCAGTAAGCACAAAGAAAGGCCAAGTCCTAAGGCTGTATAGTCGGTGTGCTGTGCTCCTGAAAGCTTCATAGCTTCCCTGTTTCCATCTAGATCCTGGATTGGAAACACCTTGAGGGTGTCTTTCTTTCAGGGCCTTCCTTTCCTTCTCTCCTGTTCTTCACAAGCCTTTCTGATCCTGTCCTGCCCCACTCTACCTACCTCTTGTATCAGGCAAGGGAGAACCACTTCCCAGCTTCGTTACTGCGAAGAACCTATACAGAGCTTCCAAAGGTAATGCAGGCCCCTGCCTGTCAGAGCGTTTGAGTGTTTCCTTGTACTGTGTTCCAGGAGTAAGGTCTTGTGTTAGGGTTCTTTAGAGGAACAGAACGTAATAGAGCACACACACACACACACACACACACACACACACACAGAGAGAGAGAGAGAGAGAGAGAGAGAGAGAGAGAGAGAGAGAGAGGGAGGGAGTGAGTGAGGGAGAGAGAGAGAGAGAGAGAGAGAGAGAGAGAGAGAGAGAGAGAGAGAATAGAAAAGGGATGTATTAGAATGGCTTACAGTCTCTGGTCCAGCCAGTCCAACAATGTCTGTCTACCAATAGGATGTCAAGAATCCAGTAGTTGTTCAGTGGACGAGTCTGGATGTCTCGGCTGATCTCTAGTATACACTGGAGTCCTGAAGAAATATGCTCTAATGCCAGTGAAGGAATGGACGTGCCAGTGAGAGTGAACGCAAAGAGGCAAAGAGAGCAAGCTTCCTTCTTCCATGTCCTTTATCTAGGCTGCCAGCAGGAGATGTGGTCCAGGTTAAAGCTGAATCTTCCTATCTTAAGGATCCAGATTAGAAATGGACTTCTCCCTTCAAAGCATTTAATTAAGGAAAAAGAAATCTCATAGGTGTGCCCAGTAATATGGGTTTTACTTAAGTCCACGTATAGTCAATTATTCCACATGTAAGCAAATTGAAACCAAAATATCCAATGCAAGCCTCAAAAATGAATATCTAATTACAGAACTGCAGAGTCTTTGGTATGTCACTCAAAAACACTTTTTGAACCAAATGGATTTCCTAGATACTTTCTAGCTCCTAAACATATGAAACCGTCCAGAGACCACTTGACAAGAAACATAAATTAATAAAATTCGAGTTCTTTAATTTCAACACTAGATGCCAGGACCTAGTATTTAGCCCAGTAACTTTCAGCCTCCAGACACCTACAGGGCTCAGACATTCTGTCCCTCATGGTCACCTGAGCCAGTTTCTAAAACAAATCTCCAAATATATTGTTTCCTTTGCCCTGGAAAGTGGGAGATCATCGAAGCCAAAGCTCAGCTGAAGAAGAGAAGATGTAGCAAACCAAACTCTGCCCTCGGCTTGCTCTGCTCTCTCTGAGTGAGAGAGAAAGAGGGGAGGGGTTTAAAGAAATATCTGGGGATTAAATAGGGGAATCTAGTGTTTTATAGTTGTCAGCTTTTCGGTGTTCATTATTTAGCTCAAGATATGGTTGCTGGGGCTGTCTCTGGGTCACCAAGATTAGGACATTCCAGCAGGGCAAGGTGGAGGTGCCCCTGAGCATCATGGGCAGTACAAGGACCAGGTAAGAGGCTGGGGAGGCAAGTTCCTTAAAAGGTAGAAGGGAGAATGTATAACTAGTTACAGAAAGGAGTGGAGGGAGAGGGTGTTGATTCCTAAGCTCCGATCAGGGCCACCATGGAGGCCCTGAGATGCTTTATGCTTCTGTGAGGAGACTGACTTTCAGGATTGGATGAATCCAGGTTGAACAACACTATCGATGAAAGAGCAAAGGTTATACGAACCACTGCTTCCTGTACAACTTCCTGGGCTGTTTACCCCAACTTAGGCTGACAGGATGGGGTCTGTTGCCCCTAGGTGCTTACCAATAGACTCTCAGGCAGGACTACTCTTAGGATACAGAGCAACTGGGGGCAGGTCTTTCCTCCAAACTGAAAGCCTTAAACTGCTGCTGTCTCAGAATCCAGCCTGAGGAGAAAGAGGAGCGAAATCAAGAGTGGGAACATGTTTTCTCAAGCCTTTTTGTTTAGACATTTCCCCTTTCCAGTGCTTTCTCTAGTCTGAACCCACACACCTCCAATAAAAGGACTGTCACCTTGCTGGTTCCCATCTGCACCCCTTTCCCACTTGGTCCCCTTCAGAGTATTTTATGCTGGACCATCATCCTCTCAGGGCAGCAGTGTGCCCTGTTCCCGCCCTCTAGAAGCCAGTTGTCAGCCCACCCCACCCACCGTACCACTCCACCCACCAGGTGGGGATCTCTCAGTCCTTTTGTTTATTTTTAAGAAGTCAGTGGAAGGATTGATGAGTGTGCATCGGGTATTTCTGGCCCTTGGTTGAACCTTGGAACTAGCAAAGGTGGAAGAGCTTTCCCATGTTTCTAAGAAGCCCTCCCGGCTGTGCTTCCATTGTACAGGACTGGAAGAGACCAGAGGAGGGCATGTGCAGGCCACACTTGGAAGCACTGTGAGAAGGTCATAGACTTGTGTGTTGGCCTTGTGCAGTTACCTTGATCTCATTTGACAAAAGTGATAATGCCATTCGTTCTTTCCCATAGCCTTCACTACAGCATCTTGAAAACAAACTGTCCCTGACCAGAAAAATGTGTCATGCTGTTATGAGGAAAAACCACTGTGCGATGGTCATGGGGTTCTTTCCAGGAATAAAATTTTTGCTGTTTGTAGCCTCACTCTGTTTGCTTTGACTGATCTTAAAAAAAGTATTATTTTATCCAAAACAAACAAACAAACAAACAAACAAACAAACTGACAGCAAATGCTTTATGTGAACAGATCAACTGAGTGGTACCTAACATCTTTCTCCATCTTTAAAATGAAAGACAGTTCCTCCAGTCCAGCCCTGTGAATATTCACCAAGAAAAAGAAAGTGATGGGAAAGAAACAAAATTAAACCTCCCGGGGACGGGAGATAGGAGAGCCAGTCCTGCTGCTCGGTGAGCACTGGATTCAGTGAGACAATCTTCCAATAGGCATGGTGTCGAGATGGGAGAGGCAGATCCCTGGTGATCCTTTAGGTCCCTCTAGGCAACTTAGCCAGTCAATGAGTACAGATCGTAGTCAGCGATAAAGACATCAGATATCCCTTTGCTCTCCTGGAGCAAGGAACCCAAGGCTCTGAGGCAGAAGCCTCAGTGTTGTTCTTACCCAGTGATGTCGTCCTGACCCTGACTGGATAAAGCAAATGCTCCTACCAAAGGCTCGTCAAACAGCTAGGGTTCCTTTTAGACAATGGGCAGTGTATGAATTTCAAATCACCCATGAGGTCAGTGTTCCATCTTTCTGCCACAATTCTAATTTCCCAGCTCACAAAACTGCTGATGCCCTGACCCAAAGACTGGTTCCCTCCAGCTTCTCGCTGGCTTCCAGACACTTAACACAGCCTGGCTGGACAGCTACAGGGAAATTACTTCAGAAGTTCACCTGCTCCTGTTCCTCCTTGGAAACTCCTAGTAGGTAACAGAATGTCTAAGAATCTCTTCTGAGTCCTGAGTGGGGTGTTAGGCTTGTTCACTGAGGGAATAAACTCACTGCTATTCCACAGACAAGACTAAAAGTGCCCTGGGAACAGCACTTTCCCTACAGTTAATAAAAAAGATCAATTGCCTTTGCCTTCAGGTTGACACTACTTGTTGCTGGTAGATTTAAGGGTACACACACACACACACACACACACACACACACGACCCCTGTTACCTGTTGGTCTCTGGAGGATCTTTCCATTCAAGGTCTGCACTCTCTGTGGAGCTGTCTCCCAGTCCGAGACAGCCTCTCGCATTGGTTTGTAGTCTTTTCATAAAAATATGAGAGCTACAAGCGGTGAAAAACAGCTCACAAGATCTGTCCTCCAGAGGGAGGAAGGTGGTGTTTCCTGAGGGACAGGAAAGAGTCATGTATGTGGGTTTCTCTGAAAAGGTGTTCTCCGAGGGCTGAAGAAGGCAGCCAGTGGAAGAGGTGATTTAAAAAAAAACCAGTTCTGCTTCCTGCTCCACCCCCACAGGCCACACCACTGAGATGCGTGTGTGCAGACTATTCTCTACGGGACCCTAAAAACATGGGCACCTTAAGACTCTAGCTTCCTCTCCTCTGGGCCAGGCAGACAGCATGCTGCTCTGCTGTTTACCTCTGCCCTACAGAGGTAGCTTCTTAGATGGAGTTTGAGGTGGTAGTTGAGCCTACAGTGGCTCTCTCCAGGGCCTACTGGGCTAATCAGTATGGATCATGCTTGAGCCTGGGTGTGGTACCCTGGCTTCTGGGAAGAGTATGGGAGAACAGGCTTAGGTTTTCTCAGCTGGGCAGACCTTGTCTCCACAGAAGCCATGAAGCTAGCTACTCAATCTAGAGTATGACTTAGGCAAAGCAACAGCATTTAGTGAAATCTCAAATCCTTTCTATCTCTGCATGCTGTCCTGCTGGGCTCAGGATCTGGAGGGGTGAGCCAGGTCTCCTCTCTGGAGAGCCTTTCAGATGTCCCACTTAGTTGTGTGTTTGAGTTCAGATCATTTTTTAATTATTATTCATTGGTTTTTATTTTCTATGTATGAGTGTTTTGCTTACATGTACAGAAGTGCCCTTTGCACATGCCTAGTGCTTGCAAAAGCCAGGAGAGGCTGCTGGATCTCCTGGAACTGGAGCTATTGACAGTTGTCCTTAACTACTGAGCCATCCCTCCGACCCCAAGTGTGGATGATTTCTTTAAAAAGTAATGTTCAAGCAAGAGAGTGGGGTGTGGGATCCATTTGGGTGGAATGAACACAGGTGTCTTTCCTATAACCTGCATGTTCTTAGATTTTTTTAAAAAATTGTCATGTATGCTCTTGTTGGTTCCTGAAAGCCCCGTGTTTTATAAATGTAAATCCATCCCAGCTTCTGCTGCCTACTTTCTTCCTCACAGAACTCCCTGGTTATTTGGAACTTTTTCACTCTGCAGCTTTCAAAGGAAAGGTGCACCCTTCTGTAAAGGGACTGTCAGCAGTGAAAGGTGGCTGCAGCCACAGAGAAAACAAATTTCTGCAAGAGCCTGAGGTTCAAAACTGAGGAAGGGAGGGGGAAAAGGACAGGGGGAGGAAGAGGAAGGGGGAGAGGTGAGGAAAGAAGAAGAGGAGAAAGAGGGAAGAAAAATGAGAGAGGAACTAATTTTTAAAAATGCAAGTAATATAGTGAAGTAATTAAGAAATTGGAAATTTACTTTTAAGGTCAAATATGCTAAACTTAGTAACTGGCGTCGATGGCTTGCAAACACTGCCCCCTGCTGGTTACCTGCTGGTTTGCCGTGTTCCGTTTTGCCCAGTCTGAAAATGTTAAAACAGTGTTTTTTGGGGGAAATTGTTTGTTTGTTTTTGATGTGTGTGTGTATGCGTGTGCGTGTGTGCGTGTGTGTGCATTCGCACGTGCACATGCTCCTGAGTGAACACAGGGAAGCCAGAAGACTGACTGAAGGTGTCTTCTGTCACTCCTCTACCCTATAGCCTTGAGACAGGTTCTCTCAGTAAATTGCTTTCTACCAGACTGACTGCCAGGAGCTCCAGGATCTGACATTTTGTGCTGCCTGATGCTGAGATTCCAGGCACCAGCAGGCACGCCCAGATTTTTGTTTGGTTGCTGGGGATTCAAACTTAGGTTCTCATGTTTGCACAGAAAGTGTTCTTACTCACTGAAGGCTAATATTCATCTCTCAGCCTCAACATATGCTTTCTTTATGACTTGCTACTCTAGAGAGTCCTCTTTTCTCATCCCCTTGTTTAAAAACATGCTGATACGCCCACACGAGAATCCAAATATGAATGCCTATGGTAGTTTTGTTCACAATGTCCATCCAAATGCAGAGACAACTCGGATAGCTTTTAGTAGGTGGGTGATGAGGTGACACATCCAGGCAATGGGAACTACAGAGAGATGAGTTGGCAGGACACATGGAGCTCCAGAGAACGTAATGCATGCTGCTAAGTGAAAGAAGCTGATCTGACAGGGCTCTGTGCCGTACAGCCACAGCCCCGCGGCATGCTGGTGGTCTGGCAGGGCTCTGTGCTGTACAGCCACAGCTCCGCGGCATGCTGGTGATCTGGCAGGGCTCTCTGCCGTACAGCCACAGCTCCGTGGCATGCTGGAAAGGACAACTATGAAGTTCACCTGTTGTCACGGGCTTGGGGAAGTAGAGGGAGAAATGAACAGTGAAGCACAGAGGAATCTTATGGTAATGAGATATTCTATCTGACTTGTGGGTTCCTGTTATCATTCACTTGCCAGGACCCACAGGATATAAAACACCACGAGTGACCTCCCTCTCCCACCCCCGGCTGTAAAACTACACATTCAGTTAATAAAATATATGAATTTAATTCCATGGACAACAACAATGATCCACTAATGTGACATGTTACAGACAGGAGAAACTGGTGAGGAGGGCATGCCCCTTCTGTACTTTCTGCTCAGATTTTCTGTAAATGTATAATGGTTGAGGACGGAGAGATAACTCTGCAGTTAAGAACATCAGCTGCTCTTTCAGAAGACCCAGGTTCAATTCCCAGCACTCGCAACCATCTATAACTCATCCCAACACTTTCTTCTAGCTTCTGCAGGGATACAGTACAAGTACACATTGCAGACAAAACCATCTCTACGCATAAAAGAGAAAATATAGGTTAAAATGAATATTTTTAAAAACTGATTTTTAATAAAGTTAATTAATTTAAACTCAGTAGAGGATAAAAAGGGGCGAGACAGGGCAAGAATCAGGATAAAGGAGGTGAAATGGGGGGGGAAGGTTGAGAAGGGTTGAGGACTGGAGAGAAAAGGAAAATAACGAGTAGGAAAGCAATGGTCACCTGCACACGACACATCAATCCCTGTAAAAGCTTAAGGAGAGACAGCCAAGGTCACGAGCTGACAGGAGTGCTGGCGGGAGTGCTGAGAGAAGGTTTGTTTTCAGTTCTGTGTATCTGTGATTGTGTGTGCACATGACTGAAGGCACCAGAGGAAGCCAGAAGAAGGTATTAGATCCTCTGGAGCAGACATTGCAGGAGGCTGTGAACTGATGTAGGAGGGGCTGGGGACCAAACTTGGTTCCTCAGGAAGAGCAGAAAGTGCTCTTAACTGCTCAGCCATCTCCCCAACCCCATAACTTAGTCTTAAATGGCTGCAGAGGCCTGATTTGAACCTGGGATGCTGACATTTCTTTCTCTGGCTGCCCACTGCTGCTTACATCACAGTGAAGGCTTTTATCCCACCGTGGCTCTCAGCGCTGTTCTCTTCATCTGGTTGCTTGGTTTATGGTTGTTGCTTATGTATAAAACCCCACGAGTTCTCTAGCTTCTCTAATCTCCCCTTTAATTCATAGGCAGATAGATGACAGGCAGATGACCGACAAATAGGTTAGATACATAATAGAATGGAGAGTTACATTTCACAAAAAATGCATAGTAGCAGATAAGTGGGACTTTGATATTTTGGAGCCTTAAATTATGTTCCCTGTATTATTTAGGTAAGTATACTATTATCTAATAATATACCTACTAATTTAAATGGTAGTGTTGTTAAAAAATTCTAAAGAGATGAAAATAATAAATACTTGGGAGGCATAGGCAGACAGTTATGAGCTTGTGGCCATCCTGGTTTACATAGAGTTGCAGGTCAGCCAGGGTTGAAAAGTGAGGTTCTGTCTCAACAACAACAACAACAGCAACAGCAAAAACAACAACCACCACCACCAACAACCAACAAAATTTAATAGAAGTGACAAAATGAAATCACAAAAATTACTCAAATAGTGCAAAATAGAACAAGAATTAAGGCTAGAAAAAAACCTTGAAAGATCAAAGACAGACACGTGAGGTTTATTTTAATTCAATAGTAGCAGTAACTACATTAAATGAATAGCCAAAATATTGTGAAACCATCGTCTGTTAGACTATTAGAAAACAGGACCCATTTACATGACGTCTTTGAACTTCTCAGTTTAAAAACACAAACATAACTAAGTTAAAACTAAGAGAACACTAAATTCAAACAACATTCAGAGAAAACTAAATAATTTAAGAGAGGCAAACTTCAGAACATAGGGTATTACCAGGATCCCAGGGAAGACACTGGGACTCCATACACAGTGACGGAGATGCCATTTCCCAGAGGTGATGCAGCAATCCCACAATTCTCAAAAGACATGAAGAGAAATGGAAAAAACTGAAAGATCACAGACATGGAAATCCACTGCTGTAGTCAGAGATTTTAACATGTTTCTCAGTAATGGGTATGACAAGCAGGCAGAAAACCATTGTTTGTAGATAGCTTGAACAATACTACTGACCCACAAATTCTGTCTTATGTTTGCAAACTACAGTGGGAGATGGCAGACTCTTAAAGAGGCAAGGTCTTGTGGGATATGAGCAGGTCACTAGTGTATTTCCTTGATGTGGATCGTGAGTCTCCACCCCTGTTCCTCCCTCCCTCCCTCCCTCCCTCCCTCCCTCCCTCTCTCTCTCTCTCTCTCTCTCTCTCTCTCTCTCTCTCTCATCCTGTCTATGTAGGAACAGATTTCCTGTACCAAAGGTACCAGCCATGCTGTCCTACTCCACCACAGGCTCAAAGACAATGGTGATGGGTCAGAAGTTCCTAAATGGTGAACATAAAAAATAAAATAAAAACAACAAAACCAAAAAGAAAGAAAACCTCTTTTAAAATTGATTACCTCAGGCGTTTTGTTTCAGTGTTTAGATGAGAAGAACATGGAATTACCACTCACTGTCAATGGGAATGTAAGATTGTATCGCCATAGAGTGAAGAGGGAGGGGCTGACCCAGGTACATCTGCTCAGATTGGGATCATATAGCTGGAAACTAAAAGGAGCAGTCTTTTTTCCCCCCATTTAAAAGAATGTTACTATCTACAGCATGGTTTAGAAATTAAATCATTTTTAAATGA